CTCAGCATCCACTGGCTGTATGAAGAGCATCATGAACATCCTCACACGGGTTTGGAACGACATGAAGGTGAGTAAATGATGATTAGACAAGCCACACACTTCACTACTCACTCTACTCACCTCTTCATTACTGGCATGACAGCCTGTCGATCAGAGAGGGAGGGCGGGTCAAACACCCCACAGCAGTCAGATTGAACAGTGTTTGATTTCACGATTCTCTAATCAGACTGAATGAGTGGCTCTGACCTGCAGGAAGGTGTGTTTGTCTGGTCTGCGGTGGAGCTCCTGTGCGCTCTCGATCGTGCAGCAGCTGACCGTACAAACACTCCAGCTTGCTGTTCTTCTGCTCGTCCAGTGCCGCGGCTCGCTCCTCGTTCCTCTGCGACAGCATCTGCAGAACTTCATTATAGTGCTGCTCCAGCCGAAGCTCTCCTGCAGACACACACCTGAGGCGATGCACGAGTCCAAACCTCCAGTGATGAAGAGCTCCTCCAGGTTACCAGTTCTCCATCTGGACGATCTTCTGGCTCAGTTTGCTCCTGCGTTTGGACAGCACAGCGCCGCGTCACACACCGCAGACGCTCAGATCAGGTGTTTGTGAATCTGAGCCTCACCTTCATCTGCTGCGTGACGAGCATGTGCCGCTGTGTGTGGAGACGCTGCAGTTGCAGCAGAAGACATCAGGAGAGCCCTGCACCATCTTCATCAGCCTCCTCCTCCTCCTCCTCCTCCGCGATCACGTCCAGACGACCTCTGACCTCATACACGTCCATACTGATGCCTGCAGCAGATCCCCGACAGAAACACATCATTCGTGCTCACTGTCTGTACACTCATAATGTCTAAATATATCTTGCTTATGTTGTGGTTATATTTTATATTGTGTGTGTGTGTGTGTGTGTGTGTGTGTTGATGCTGTATGTACAACTATCATGGCAGAAAAGTACTTTGAAAAACATTTGACTTTGAAAGGTCATTTGAAAAAAAAAACTGTTTTTAATAATTATGGAGGATACAGCTAACCATAAAATACACTTAGAAAAAGTAAGATGAGGTTTTCTACAAGAAATATAGTCAGAAAATTTGCCCACAGGTCACACACACATATGTCTGGTTTGCTATCCTTGTGGGGACTCTCCATAGGTGTAATGGTTTTTCTACTGTACAGACCGTATATTCTATTGCCCTACACCTACCCTACCCCTAAACCTACCCCTTACAGGAAACTTTCTGCATTTTTAGATTTTCAAAAAACTGAATTCACAGACTCTCTCTCTCTCTCTCTCTCTCTCTCTCTCACACACACACACACACACACACACACACACCATGAGCTTCACAGCCATAAACACACCTAAGCAATCTTGTTTTCCTGCATTTTGCTTCAAACAAAAATTATCAAAGTAGTAAAAGCTGGTTGTCGTGTTCGGTGAGTGTGTTTCTGCGCATGCGCATCGAGCTCCGAGCAGATAAATATAGCTGGACAGATCGAATATCAGCTCGAAACCTCACGACTGACCGACTCAAACAACACTGCTTTACTGTAAATACATTTACTGTAGCGCTTCATTTATCAATATGACGATCGAATCACAGATTTGGTTCTTCTGTCGGTGCCACTATCTAAATATAAACTCAGATGTAATATTTACATTTAAATATATTGTTTATATTTAGACTAATTTAGACACATTTTCGGTTTATTTTTAATATTTACATGTTACACATAAATCATAAACCCACACCAGCTTCAATAATATTTTTCAAATTGATTCACTAAAATTGGTTTCATTAGTTTTGTTGACACATCTGGCGAAATTGTATCCATTTATTTATCATATCAAGGATTTACAGAAAATGTAAGAAAGCATAATTTCAGTGGTATAATTTCATGATCTGAATCAGTATGGTCTGTAGTTTAATTTCATATAAAACATCCACACAAGCTTTTCATCTGCATGTTTAAACCGAAATATCATGTAAAGTTTAGCCTCAGTCTGTTTTAGAGTGTTAGCTTTTATTTTATGTATTTGTTACATTTACATTACATTTAGCAGATGCTTTTATCCAAAGCGACTTACAAATGAGGACAATAGAAGCAATCAGAATCAACAAAAGAGCAATGATATACAAGTGCAAGAGCAAGGGTTTTTAAAATAATATAATAATAGAATAGAACAGAATAGAAAAAGAATAGAGCAAGCTAGTGTTAGAGGTCTTTTTTGCTTTTGTTAATTGTATAATAAATGAAAAGAAAACAGATAGAATACAAAAAGATTAGAAAGCAA